GCTATGGGCTAAATGCAGGTGGTTTTCTGGGTCTGTAAGTGGAATCATTTGCAAGCGCTGATCTAGAACACAGAACTGAGAGTTTGCTGATGCAGGACCTGGTGGGCCTACCCCCCCCCTCCTTCCTTGAACTCACGTGACCTTGGAAATTGCACTTTCTCTTTCTCTGGGCAGGAGTTCAACGGCAAGATTGGGGCTTTAAGAACGTGACATCTGGTGTTATGGAAACATCAGTAATGTGTTAAGAAGCGCTCCCTGAACTGAACCATTCCTAACTACACCACGCTCTAAGCTTGCAGAGTCTAAGACCGGCACTCAGGAGACTCAAATTCTGGTCTAACTTACTAAGTAATTCTAGGCAAGGATTTGGGAGCTAGAATGAGTAGAAGCAAAGCACGATACCAATTTTCTTTTTTGTTTTATTTTTTATTTTCTTGGTTTTTTTGTTTGTTTTGTTTTTTGTTTTGTCGAGACAGGGTTGCTCTGTGAGGCCATGGCTGTCCTGGAACTCGCTCTGCAGACCAGGCTGGCTTCGAACTTACAGAGGTACCAATTTTCTTCAAAGTCAATTTCAAATGAACCATCTTCTTCTCAGCTAGAACCACCTCTCCTAGAAGGCTTAGGACGATGCGGGGTGGGGTGGGGGGAGGAATCGTGGGAGCTGAAGTTCCTGTAGAAGTGAAAAGCTGAAGCAACTTCCCACCTCACCTAACAGGGGTCCTCAAACCTGGGGTCCTCCACCTGAATGATGACATGGAGATTTATCAGACTCCCCTTCGAGCCTGGAGTGAACTCGACTCACTTCTCCCCTCCCTCCAAGTTTTTGCTGAGTACCTACTGGTTGCCAACCTCAGTGCTCCGTAGAGTGAATCAGAGACAGAGATGCCTCAGACACATGCTGCCCAGCAGGAAGGATCCAGGTGATTAATAACCATGATGCAATGGGAAGAACTCGCTCTCCGAGGGCAGGGTCTGGCTAGACCAGCTCTCAAGGATGGAAGAGCAGATCAAGTTGCTCCAGGAAAGGCCTGTCACCCACCTCCCCCTCCCCCACCCCCGCCCACCAGCAATATTCTTCTCAGGATGACAGACACTTGACCTCTCTTGCCTCCAGCATCGTGCATCTTGTTCATATTCGTTCCCATACAGTGGTGGGGTATGTGAGCTGACAACGTCATTAGCATTTATGAAGGGTGGGAGCACCAAAGGAAACTCAGCTCCCTGCTCCTGCTATCCAGAGACCGGTGCAGTCGGCTTGGACTTAGAACTCAGACCCTGGGGCCTTCCTTTGGCCAGGACAAGCCCTTTCTCCTCCAGCTTTTTCATCTCTTAAGGGCAGGGGCCAGGGTTGGGAAGACCTTGAAATTTCAGTAGTGGTGAAAATTGATAGCAACATGTTTGGTTTACTTTCCCTTTAACATTTGGGGGGAGGGGAAGAGTATTTTGCTTTTGGGTAACTAAATTTCTGAGCGTATTTGTGGAGAGTTGGGAAATGAAGCCAGGACTGGGTGCGGATTGGAGCTGAGCATGCAATGGGAATGTTGTATTAACTGAAGGAACTGGAGAGGGATGAAGAGGGCGTCTGTTGGAAGGGCCACTGTCCACAGGAGTTAGAAATAGTTTTGACAGGCATGGAGGTGCACACCTTTAATGCCAGCACTCAGGAGGCAGAGGTAGGCAGATCTCTGTGAGTTCAAGGCCAGCTTGGTCTATAAAGCTAGTACGAAACAGCCAAGGCTACACAGAGAAACCCTGCCTCAAAAACAAAAACAAACAAATAAAAAATAGAACTAAAGTCTTTCTTTAATGCTACTGAATACTCCAAGGCAGAGGATGGAACAGTTGCCATCCAAACCACCAAAATGGTGACTAGTTGCGACCGCTCGGTTTGGTTCACCTCAGAGCTTGCAGCAAGATTTGGTGGCAGAGACCTTTGGGTTATGGACAGAGGGGAGCTATCAGGAACAGGAAAGGCCCCAACTCATAATGAAACCACATCCAGATGTGGCCACACACACAAAAGCCAGGAGCAGCGAGCACTGCGTGCCCTGACCCCCACCTGCTTGCAGCTGGGAGGAGTTTCCCAGGCATCTGATGTGGCGCCTGGTTCCTGCGGTCCCTGTTCACCCTCTAGCTCTGTCATGCATCTCCTGCCAGGAGTTTGCTCAGACTACTGATGCATGCCACACACACAAGGAACAGGCCTGCTGATTAAATTACCAAATCCTATTAGAAAACAGGGCAACTCACTCCTAATAGAATCTTTATGTTCCTCGTGATCTTTGACGACTCCAGAGAGACTTTGAAATCTCCAGTGTGGGGCCCAGGGTGGATTCTTTCTGACAGTTCATTCTCCTTCACCAGCAGAACCCTCAGACACAGCAGCATCCCTGGGAAGGCAATTTGCCCTCTCAGAATAACAGAGCCTTTCTAATTCGTTTAAGAGCCACTGTGATTCTGGGGGTGCACTGAGAAGCACTGAGAGCTGCTTTTCTAAGGAGGCACACGTGGGGATGGATTGGGATGGGGTGGGTGTTCCCTGAAACTACCATAGCTGAGATGCTCTGTCATGCTATCGTTGGTTTTATACCATCCTACTCCTCCCTCATTCTCCCTCAACATACACAAGACAGTGCAGATGCCAACATGGGATGTCTGTGATGAGGTTGACAAATGCCCGCCCCAGGGACCCAGCCGCCACCTCTGCCACAAGCCCTCCGGAAGTCACTTGGGTTTTGTGCAGTCAGGGCTGCACTGTTGGTTGGGCTTGGGGGGTGACTTAGGCTACAAAAGCATGGGCGCTGTCCCGCTGCACTCAAAACACGGACAGGTTACGTACATGAAGGAGCAACCCTGCGCCTCACCTCGAAGGAAGTCGATCTGATGAGTAAACCAGATTTCAGGCCTTTCTGCTATGCATTTTTCACCCAATAGCTCAAGTTGGCTTTTGTTACACCATTCTAAAACTAAACCCCCCCCCACCTCCTGGTACCAGAAACAAATAAGATTTTGTTTTGTTTTCATCAGAGACATTTCTCCTTTCTCTAGTGATATCATCCCTGAAAGACGGAGAGGTAACAAGAGGTGAATCATGTTTCACCTCCGCATCTCTTCTAGAATTACATCAGCCAAGAGCCCCAAGGTGCAGCGACAAATGCCAAAAAGCAAAGGGGAAAAAAGTAAGGCAAGGGCAAGGCCAGGGAGGAAAGGAGCTGTTTTTTCTCATCTGCATTTGTTTTTCCTACTCCCTGCCACTCATAAATCAAATAATAATAATTTTAAAAAAAACCCAGACTTTAAAGGGGTAATTGCCTTGTACTTACTGGTGGCATTGGATTAAATGTCGTTATCATATCTACATTGCTGATGAAAGCCAAACTTGGAGCATCGTCTGGCTAACAGTGAGGGCCTAATTCCCAAGTGGCAGCCATATCATCTCCACCATCTTACGCCTCCATCAGTTTTGTTTGGAGGGGGAAGTTGGCAGTGTGGGAATAGTTAGAAATGTGAACTCTGTTGGACAGGAGAACAATAGCCCCACACAGCTATCTGCTGGGGATGTGGACATGGAAATCCAAGGCAGGATGGGATTCATCCTTTCCTGATCTCCGCCTAAACGTTTAAAAACGTCCATTGGATGACATGCATCTGTCATCTTCTGGGAGAGGGATGAGGTCTCCACCAAATCAAAATAGAAGATTAAAAGGGGTAGCCTTTTAATCTTAAAAAGACATTGGGTGTTTTTAAAAAGTATTCCCAACCTCCACCTCTTTTCTTTTAAAAGGATAGGTTTATTGCCGAACCACTCCCATTAAGTAGGAAGAAAATTTCACCCTCCCTTCCTCTCGGATTCCGGTGGATTCCAGTCTCCTTGCAATCCTCAGGCCTAGCTGTTCACAACATATTTATGAAGAAAACAAAGTGAAGCGGCCCCAGGACACGGGGGGGGGGGGGGGATTGTGGGGAGGCCAGGAGTGAGAGTCATTTCTGCAACACAGGAAAAGAGGCCCAAAAGGGCAAAGGGAAGGATGATTGGCAGAAGGCAGTTTGGGCAGCATCGGATTACCACTTCCAGCTGATTGTGTGTAACCCAACTAGAGACATCTGGGTTGGAGTTCACCAACAGAAACAAACACAGAAAGCAGGAGCACCCCACAGCACACACACACCCACACCAAGCCAACAGCTCCTCTGCCTTGCTCTCTGAGTGGTTCCCACTGGGCCAGGCAGGGCTGTAAGCGAAGGAAACAGGCTCTTCGGGCTGTCTCCCCCAACCCCACCTGTACCATGACTCACTCCTGGGTGTCTGGAACCTACCACTTTTCTATTTGCTTTTCTTCCCAGAGAAAAACAAAGCAGGCCTCACTCTACAGAGTTCTCTTTAGAGTGCTAGTTGGTCTTCAGAGCATCGTGGCAACTCGCACAGGAAAAAGGTGATACATTATGCTTGAACTTGATGGTTAGGCCGACCCACAGGAGGTAGCAAAAAACTTAGCAGGAGGCAAGTCACTCAGGAAACAGCCATACGCGTCTAAAGAGCTTGGACAGTTGGGTTTACGAACCTCTTCAAAATTAGCTTCAAGGGGGAAAAAAATCCATATTCCAGGCATAGTGGCTCACGTCTTCAATCTCAACACTTGGGGGAGCAGAGGCAGGTAGATCTCTGAGTCCAAAGCCAGCCTAGGATACATTATAGAGTTCCAGGCCAGTTAGAGCTACATAGTGAGTCTCTTGTCTCAAAACCGACAAGCAATCAAGACTTCACATATGCAATGGGAATATGAAATATGCAGGAGGCTGGCCCCAGACATGATACCTCAAGTTGTCTGATTTAAAAAAACAAACAACAAACTCTAGAAATCTCTGGCCCTCCCCAAGCTTCAGAGGGACCACACTAATGGTTGGAGGCACATACCCCTCCACCCCTATTATCCCCCACCCCCACTCCCTCACTGCCAATCATCTTGGCAGCATTTCCAGAGGCTCTTCTGTATTGACAGCTTTCCTCTTTATTCTCACCCCACTGACATGCATACAGAACCAAAACAAAACTGCTCAAAAAAAAAAAAAAAAACCCAAAAATAACAAAATGTTTTATACACATTTCCGTATATACAACTGAACAACATTTTACAAGGATCTTTTGCACAGCAAAAGATAGACATTCAACTCTGAGAACACAGTTATGTACAAAAAAAAAAAAAAGTCAAAAATACTTCACAACAGTGCAAAAGTATTTTACACAGCATCATGGAGTAGAAGCTTTGGAGCAGGAGGAAGGTGTATTTCTAAAGGAAAATTCCTTTAAAAAATATTAGGTGTCTTTGACTGTAAACAAAACACAACTTTCATACCCTGCCCCCCCAACCCCCAAGAGTTATTTGAGAAATTTGGCATACTTTCAAGAGTTTGAGTCTGAGGTAAACAGCCCAAGCTCTCATATCCCAAAGAACTGGGGGCAGGTAAGTGACATGAAAGCCTCCAACATAACGAGAATGACTTTGTTAATGAGTTATTGATGACAAGAGAGGCCTTCCAGTCAGGGGGATCTGGAGAGGAAGTTAACCCCTCCTTCCCAAGCCCCAGCTGCCTCACAAACAGGAAACTGGCTGCTGGGTACCTCCAGCCCGCCCTTGGCCTTTTCCAACTTCAGCCACTTCCCACATCCTCGCCAACCCCAGAGAACCTGTCTCTTTTCCTTTGTGGCGCTTCTCTCCTTCCACATCTCCCTGCTCACAACCCGAGGCAGGGGCAGGAAGTGGCAGAGAAGCAGGCCCATGAAACTCCAAATTCGGGTCTGGACCTCACTCGGGTCCGTAATTTTCCCTTTCCTGGAGGTTAGGGCGGATAGAACTGCCGGTGGGGAGCCACTGTGGGGTGCCAGGGGCATGGAGAAGTCTTTTGGTAGCTTAGCCCGAGTAGGGCTCATCTAGGCCAGCGCTGTCAGCAGGGCAGGCTGGGTCCCCAAGGGTGGCCGAGGTGGCATCCAGGCCCCCGCCCTCGATGGAGCTCTCACTGCCGGTGCTCTCGCCCGACAGCAGGCGTGTCACCCTTAAATTGGACTCCAGGGTGCTCACGTCATTGCCAAAGCTAAGATCGCCCAGGTCACTAATAAGCTGCGACAGTTGGGCCTTCATGTCCGAGGCACAGCCTGGCAGAGGAGGCGATGTCCCTGAGCTGGGGCCCAAGGAGACCCCGCTGTCCCCCAACGCCTCCTCGTGGCCATTCTCCAGCGGGTCCAGCAAGTCCCCACATTCCAAGTGCATAGTCACCACCAGCGCCCTCTGCGCTTCAGCCTCCTGGTCTGCTGGATCCCCATCCCCCACATGGTGGTCCTCCTCCTCCTCCTCCTCCTCCTCCTCCTCCTC